GCTATGTGATGCTCCCCGCCCAGGAGGCTCCGTGATGCTCATAGCCCCTCCACTGCTCCACGAGGCTCCCCTCGCCCAACTGCCCCCCGAAGCTTGCTGCCACCCTGTGAAGCTCGCCACTGGACGCTCCACGAAACTCCCCCCGGATTCATTATGGTTTTCAAAACTCGCTGCCACCTGGGTGACTGCTCCACTAAGCTCACCAAGCTAAGCAGCCAGCCACTACTGTTCCATAGTCCCCTGTCCCACCCCACCACCAGCCCCTCCTCATGGTGAGTGCTTGGGGGCGGTCAGAGGTTGGAGGGGGGGGATTTAGGGAGGGAGATGGAAAGGTGCTCCATGCACTTCACGGTGACTGGTCGCCATTTTGGTCGTGATGCCACCTAGCTCTTTATATACACTGAGTGGCCAGATTATTATGACCACCCCATCAGTACTTCGTTGGGCCGTCTTTTCCTTCAATACTTTAGCGATTCTTCTTGGCACTGACTCCAGGAGATGTTGAAAGGTGATGCGAGGAATCTGAAAACATGCCTGATGGATAGCACTGTCCCATTTGTGAGATTTGATGGTTGTGGAACCAGCTGCCTGATGTCTCTTTTAACTTTGTCCCCCAAATGCTCAACTGGATTTAGATCTGGTGATTGTGGGGGCTACCTAAGCAAGGTAAAGTCTCCCTCATGTTCTTGAAACCACTCTTGCACAATTCAAGCACCATAGCACGGGCATTGTCTTGTTGGAAGAAGCCATCTCCTTTGGCAGGAAGAACTTGATCAGCAATGATACTTAGGTGTGTTGTGCTATTCAGATGTTGTTTCATATGAATTAAAAGGGCCCAAATCATGCCAGGAAAACATGCCCCAAACCATAACATTGTCCCCACCAGCTTGAAGGGTTGTACTCATGCATGTGGAATGCATGCTTTCATGCTGTTTCATGAAATTATCTCTGCCTTCTGCATGATGCAACTGGAAACGTGATTCATCAGACCACATTTTTTCCAATGCTCCACTGTCCAATCCTTGTGTTCCTGTGCGAACTGGAGATGTTTTATCCTGGTAACTAGACAGCGAAGGTGTTCCAACAGGCCTTCGGCTTCCATATCCCTTACAATGCAGCATACGGCTAATGTGTCTACAAACGTCAAGTGGTCATAATAATCTGGCCACTCAGTGTACATTAGGATGAAACACAAACATGCTAAAAGTGATGCAGCAAATTGTCAGTAGCACCTCACCACAGGCGCTGTCTGTCAGGGTTGCATTTGTGTTGCATGACAGAGCTGTGTACACACCTGTTACTGTGAATGGCATCACACTCCAAAGGGCCCTTGTTGAGCATCACGTATTGGGTGTACATAGCACACCTGTCTTTGCCTCCTCCATCACATCTTCCTCCCCCACAGAGTAAAGGACAGCTCTGACTTTCTTCGGAAGTTTTGAGCCAGTCTAGGTCTTCAGCTGACCCCAAACCACCTGGAGGGCTTGTTAAACACAGGTTCCCACTATGCAGAGGGAAATAAGGCAGTCAGAGAAAGACAAATACCATGTGGTTTCTCATATGTGAAATCTAATGAACAAAATAACAAAATAGAAACAGAGAAGAGATTGAGTGGTTATCTTACTGAGTTTGGGGGGCTGGGTGAGAAGATTAAGCAACAACAGAAAAACCATAGACACCAACAACAGTATGCTGATTGCCAGAGGGAAAGGAGGCGGGGGAGTAGAACAGAGGAAGGGGGGGATGTGTGGTTTCCAGCACTTGACCTTGGGCAGTGAATGCATGATGCAATACAAAGGTAATGTGTCATAGATTTGTATACCTGAAACATACAACTTTATTACCCAATGTCACCCTAATAAATTTAATAAACATTAAAAAAAAAATACCAGCTTTCTATGAAATAGTTGAAGGCAATGTCTGTCACATCACACCCAATTGGGGAAACTTTTTTCAGAGCTTAGTCCTGGGGAAACTGCATGTCTAATAATCCCCCACGGGTCTCTAGCTCCTCTGCTGGTTGCCAACAGAAATTTTATGTGAGATTGCCTGATTCTATTGTAACAAGAAGTTAAAAATATATATTTTTTAACTGTAAGAACCAAAGAACACGTTTTGCAAGGCTGTGCACCGCCTCTGCTCCTCCCTTCACCTCATCTCGCCCCTCAAGACCTAACATTCACCTTCTAAGTCCAGCCTCCTTTCCTTTCTCTGCCAGCGGACCAAGAAAAGCAGTGATGTCTGTATCCCTACCTCCACCTCTTTGCGGTAAAACCCACCTACCAACCACCAAATTGCCTTAAAATACTGTTGCAATCATGCGTGTTGCCTCAATCAAAGCCCTTCAGAGACTGCCCTGGACTCCAGCTATCAAAACTCTATCCCAAATGGCTGTCCTTCCCTCCCTCCCCTAGTCAGCCCGCTGTGGACTAGGGCACTGGAGGCTTGCACAGGCGCAGGGTGGGGACGGGGTGGAAAGGAAGTGAGCAGCATGCACCGCTCACACCTGAGCACAAACTGCCTGCAACCAGCTCCCTACTAAGCCTGGGTATCATGTCAAATACTGTGCACTCCAGTTCGCACACCCCAGCCTCCTGGTCAACTCTGTTCTACAAAGCTTTTGTTTAGCTCCAATTGCTTTAAAAACGTGACACTCTAAAAATAGTGATTATACATAAAAATCAGGATTCCCATAAAAAATAAACCTGAGTGCCAATGACTGGCTGGAGCTGGATATGAGTGACCTCTTCAGATTCTGTTTACCAACCCTCAGCCACCCAATAAACTTGCTAACAAAAACAAAAAAAGGCTTCTGGGCACTTCCGAAATAAAATTAAAATGGGAATCAGATATTTCTGATAACCTAGAATTTCACAGGAACACTAGGAAAAACAAGGTGCGAAGCTAGCAATAACCTGCCCCCGCCCCCCATATCTGTTTTATCAGGTTTACTTGCTAATATGCTGATAGAATTTTAAAGCCCAGCCAGTTACATGACTGTTTCTGACACATAAGTCATATGCGCCTTCATTGTAAAACCTCTAAAGCCGTGGTCGGCAAACTCATTAGACAACAGAGCCAAGTATCAACAGTACAATTGAAATTTCTTTTGAGAACCAAATTTTTTAAACTTACACTTCTTCTAACACTTCTTCAACATAGACTCACCCAGGGTATGATATTTTGTGGAGGAGCATACTCAAGGGGACAAAGAGCCGCATGTGGCTTGCGAACCGGTTTGCCGACCACAGCTCTAAAGGGTTCAGTCAGATCTCCCACCAGCCCCTGCAGACCCATCAGTTCGCCACCATCTGAGGCCCTAAAAAAATGATTCTTATGGACTACTGGATTCTGGCTGGACGTGGCCCAGGGCGGACACCAGCTGGGTTCTGGGGGAGAACGGGTGGGGTGCAGTCTCGGGCTCTCTCGCTGCAGGGATGTCGCAGGCTGTCCGTGCCCTCTCGGATGAAGGCAGCCCTTCCCTGGGTGAAGGGCATGGCTGCTCCCTGCCTGGGCCTCTGAGGGCACAGAATGTTCCACCTTTGTAACCTTGGCCCTAGTTTTCTGAAACTGTTCTAACTTAAGTGATACACTTCCTGCTATAAGCTGACTGGCATCTCCCCAGTCTCATGCCTCTAACTGAACACTAACCAGTGAATGCAAGAAAAAATATCCTTTCACCCGTCAATTTCCAGAATTTGAATATCACTATTTGGGAACATTTTGCAGCAATTTAAAAGTTGCCATTAGCCGAAACCAGTTTGGCTCAATGGATAGAACATCGGCTTGGGGACTGAAGGGTCTCAGGTTCGATTTCGGTCAAGGGCATGTACCTTGGTTGCAGGCATATCCCCAGTAGGGGGTGTGCAAGAGGCAGCTAACTATCTCTCTCCCTTCCTCTCTGTACAAAATCAATAAAATATATTTTAAAAAAAAAAGTTGCCTTTATGTCATGAAGGATTTTAGAATTCTATCTTTAAGCCTGAATTGTTGCTAAACATTTAATCGAAAAATACAATATGCAATGCTTAGCCTTGAAGAATAAAAAATGACATTTCCTCTTAAAATTATGTACACTTAATCCTAGAAATATCCTCATTTTTTTATTATGATCCTCCCACTGGAATTTTGATATATCAGTGCCATCTGCTGGGAAGTTAATATACCATTAGGTTCCAAATCCCAAAACATATCTTTTGGGGGGCTGTACGGCATAAATGTACTCTTTATTTAAGAAAAAAGCCTTATTTTTAAATACACAGCTGCTTAACTTCTATATCATCATCAATATAAACCCTAATTAATTACAAAGCACTAAAATAAAGTCTGAAAAATAATTTTTAAAATACACTAAACATTTCTATTGATACATCTCTTGGTTTCTAGAATATTCTTATGTGGTTCTGCTCTACTTTTGTACGAAGCTCAAGTGTCAGCATGAGCTGGCGCTTTTCCAAAGATCCATGATATCTGTATGTAAGAGGAAAGTGAAATATATGTTTATATATAATATATATTGCATGTATTTAAGTAAAATATATACATATTTTTCAGTACATGACAAAGTTTCAGGTGTGAAGTGAGTAGACAGGTATAGGATTAGATCTTTCTGGAATTCCTTCGCCAACTCTAAAAAGCAACTGTAATAGACACATATAAACAACACGTCACAACTGTTAAGTTTTCTGATAAAAATTGCAACAGATGTTCTAAATGATAATATAGAAACATAAAAGATTGCTTAACTGAGTTTTAATAACATGACATAAAACCCCTACACTTGATAGAATCATTATGCAAAATACATAGTTGAATACTGTATTCTTTCAAAAATATAAAATAAATAAGCAAGACATGTGAAAATAGGCAAGTTTCCATTAAATAAATGAAATCTTTTTAAAAAAAAGAAAGTTTTGCTTTCCATATCATCTGAAAAAGGAAAATTATCATTTAAACAATATTCAAGTTTATTAAACAAATTTAAAGGTAATATAAAATGTTTAGCTTTCATCAGCTTCAAGGTTTATGTTGCTCCCAAATTTTGCATATAACTGAACTTTCAAATCTGCTAACACCCGTTGAATGGATTCCACTCTGGATTCTAAGGCATCAATTTCTTCTTGCAAATTTTTCTGGAAAAAATAAATGTTTAAAAACTTAATTCTATTCAATTGGATGATTTCTAGCACCTTTGGCTAAAAAAAAAAAAAAAAATTGGGGAACACTTTTAGGTCAGAACTTTCTAAACTTCAACAGGCAGCTACATATATAATACTGATCATTAGATCTCAACCAAAAGTCTGAAAATATGCATTTTTAATTCAGGATCTATATTTGCTTATAAGATAAATCAGCTTGTTTTTTCAGTTTTGGCTGATTTTAAAAACATAAGATTAAAAAAAATTAATTTCTAAATTACCATATCTGAATAAACAAAGAACCCTACATAAGCATGGCAGCCACTTCTGCTAAACAGGCATGGCTTCTGCCAGAGCCTCTCCAACTGCCCATAAGGTAACTATGAAACTAGAGGAAATGACAAAAATTCATGCTACCACCAATAACTAAGAATAACAGTTTATAGTCTAAACGGGGCAGAAATGTTCTGAGCCTTTCCATCTAGATTATGTACTCCATGCAGGCAGGGACCAGGTGTTCTGCTGTACCTAGGAAGTGACAGAAACCAATACAGAGCTTACACTCCATAAATACTTCTAAAAGGAATGAATGAATTGCAAAACAAAGGTTCAATATATGTGTGTGGCAGGGGCGGGGTTGGGGCTGGGGTGGAAGGAGGAATGTTCACAACAGTGACAAAAACTTCTCTTGAAATACTTGCAAGAGTGCTTTAGGATGGCTACACAGAAAACCAGAATTACCGTTTCCCTATGAAAGGGAAGGTTCCAGCGTAACAGGAATCGCCATGTTTCCACACAGAAAGACTCAGGAGTGTTAGTTCTACCTGAGGTGTATTAAATGTGCATTTAAGTCATGAAAAACTGTGCTTTTATGACATTTAAGGCAGGAAGACAAACATTTTAAATAATATTCAAGCTAATTAGGCAACTCTCAAGAAAATTAGAAAGTATTTAACTGCCGTCAGCTTCTCATACACAACATGACTGCCCTCTCAGGCACAGCTGAGGCCCCATGAACCGGAAACAAATCTGCTGAGTCTCAAATGCCTCAAACACGTCAACGAACTTACTCTCTGACCCAGTCATTACACTTCCCGGATTATTTCCTTAAAGGATTTCCTAAATGTGAGCAAAGATTAAAGTATAAAAATGCTCACTAGAGCATCACTTCAGAAAAACACTGAAAACATTAGGAGGATAGTGAGCTGAGTCAATGTCCACCAACACGGCTTTAAGGTCATCAAACATGGTGTGCTTAACGTACGTGTTCCCGGCCAGAGCAGGCTCCAAGAGTATCTGCTGGATGAGAAACACTAACGGGAGGAGAAAACACTCCAGGGATGTTAACTGACCAAAATGTGAAGCAAAAGAAAGAGAACATAAGGGAAAGGCATGGAGATGCTCATCATAGACCACCACCTCTGGGTAGTGAGTAAGATTACGGGTGGTTTTTCTGTTGTTTTGTAATATCCTGTGCTTTAATTCACAGCGCAAGCTTAGGAATCGCAAGATCACTTGGGAATCCATGTGACACTTTGAGTAAGTGTCACAAGCTCTCTAAGCCTCTATCCTTCAACCCTAACGGGAACTAATGGAACCTGTCTCAGAGTCCTTGTCAGGATGAAATAAACTCACACTTGCAAAGCATTCGGAGCACATGTGGAGCACTGTGAGACCCAGGAGATAATAGCCAGCATTCATTATTTTCCTTCCTCCTACATACTACCTAATAAAGAGGGAATATGCTAACTGACCCTCACACCATCACAAAGATGGCAGTGCTCACAGCCAATAAGGAGAATATGCTAATTGACTGCCCTGCCCTCAAAGATGGCGGCACCCACAGCCAATTAGGAGGGAATATGCTAATTGCTGCCCCACCCTGAAAGATGGCAGTGCCCAAAGTCACAAGATGGTGGCGCCCAGTCTCTTCAGCCTTGCCTGGACAGCAGGTGCATGGCCTGCCTCCAGAGGCCCCCAGTCTCCTCCGACCCCCAGCCACCCAGGGCCGGCCCCAGGCACAGGTAACCAGGGCCAGCTGAGGCTTGCGTTGCCGGCAGTGGCAGCAGCAGAGGTGTGATGGGGGCATCGCCTTCCCCTGATTGCCGGGTTGCCTCCCACTCCTGAGGGCTCCCAGACTGTGAGGGGGGCAGCTGGGCTGAGGGACCCCCTAGTCCAGTGCATGAATTTCCATGCACCGGGCCTCTGGTGTTCTTTATAAGGATACAAATCATAATTTAAGAGTCAGACTTCATCACCCAGAGAAAGACTTCAATATACCTTCGCTTCTTCTAACATTTCTTGTGTTTCTTCTTGAGAATGGCTAATGAAAACATCACCAATTTGATACGGTATCATTAAGCAGTCGTCATCTGCGAGCATGATGTCCTCGCAAGCATCTTCTAAGTTTTGGAGTTGTTTCTGCAAATGCAAAAGAAAACAGCAATGAACAATGTATTCAAAATTCCCCGAAAGAGGCTATCAGCCCATTTTAATTTGGGGACACCAACCCTCAGAGGGACCTTCACAAAGGTATTCCCACACTAAAACGAGACTTCCTTCTATTCTAAAAGGCTTCACAAGGAAGCACTTAAGAGCTCACTAACACACTAATCTCCAGATACTTCCAGATTGCTACAAGTTACTGTGGTGGACAGCGAGGATCTGTTGCCACTCAAAATATCTACCTAACGGTTTCTCACTATGAGCTCTGCCTTCCTGCAGGAGAAGTAAAGCAAAGGCAAAAGGGAATCTACACTGCTCAGCCGGGCCTGCTGATAGGAAGGAAGCAAAGAACTTGCTTTCCACCAATCTACTGCACTTGAACTGGACTTCAATGAGGGAGCTGCATGAGCAGCTGCTGGGCCTAGGGCCTCCAATTTACAGGGGCAGCTGGGCGGCAGCAGTGTCCTAGGTCTGAGGAGCAGGCAGCTGGCCGAGGACAGCAGCAGTTCCCTCCCAGCCAAGTGCTCTGAGACATGGTTCTGGGACCTGCTCCTGGAACCTCAGCCTCGAGTCCCACCTCTCAACAATCTGTAAGTTTCCCCACCCCCTTAAGCAAGGTTTTTCTTCTTAAACTAGAGTAGATTATGTCATCTGTGACAGAGTCCAGAGAGATATAAGCACAAGTTACTGAACTCAGTTCTTAAGAGCTGGTGCATAAAGAACTTTTATTATTCTTAAGTAAGATACATATCTTCGGTACCTTTTTTACATCTATTTCTTCCTTCAGCTCTGTGATTCTACTCGTATTCCGTGCAAATTTGTTTATCTTTTGTTGATCTTCAAAAGTAACATTGACGTCTTCTGCAGCCTGAAAAGAGTTAAATGCCAGACTCTCCTTAGTTTGCTCACTTGGTTATAAAGGGGGAAAGACAAAGGCCTACCTGGTTTCAGTAAGGACCCCAATGACCTGGCTCAGTGGCCACAGCCCACCCCTCGCCTGGCCTCTTATGACCAAAGGCATAAGGTCCATCGTACACTCTGACTTTTCCGGGGGGCGAAGCACCCTGTTGTCTCAACCAATATGGAGCTCAGTGGTCAGAACAGGAAGGCAGATCCTGAAAGATGGCCCTCCCGTCCCAGGCTCTCATCATCCCGCAAACCGCTTCGCACACACCAGACCCAGAGGACATCTTGAAAATGTCCTTTACATCCCCATACATGTCGCTTCGAATAGTCAGCCTGCCTTGCACAATTTTCATGAACATGGATGCTGGTAAACACTGGCCTGCAGCACAGAAACCAAAGGCAAGTCCTTATGAAGATAATCCTAGTGCTCAAGTCAACTCCAGTTCCCTAAGCCAGTGGTCGGCAAACTCATGAGTCAACAGAGCCAAACTCATAAGTATGATTGAAATTTCTTTTTAAACTTAAAGTTTTTCTAACCGACTTCTTCAAAATAGACTCACCCAGGCCGTGGTATTTTGTGGAAGAACCACACTCAAGGGGCCAAAGAGCCGCATGTGGCTCGCGAGCCGCAGTTTGCCGACCACGGCCCTAGGTGAACTGGGCACAGAGAGTTCAGGGGTCCTGCTCTCCCACAGAGGTCAAGTACTGAGCCCTGAACCTGACTATGTCCTTTCAGGTGCACAGTCACCGCGAAGCACCAGGACCCGGCTTCCCACACACACAGTGGGGCTCACAGCAGTTCCAAATGTGAACCTGAATCATGATCATCAGTCACAGGCACACAGTTTCCGAAAAGTTGTAGAGAACTGGGCCCTGCTTCCCATCTGTCCAGGACAGGCGCTTCCTTTGGGAGCCCCTCTCGCCCCCCTCCTTCCCCCCACAGCAGCCCTGCACACACGTGGCCCAGGAGTGCACTTAGTCACAGTGGTTTTCTCATGGGGTTAGGGCTAAGCTGGCATTGGAGGCACAGGGGCCTGGGTAAGCCGCATGCCACCCAGGGAGTGCCATGTGCAGACAAGGAGAAGCCGCCCCTCCCTAGCAGCCGTTCTCATCTCACTGATCCGTTCTCATCTCACTGATCTAGAACACGGCTACACTGCCTGCCGCTTCCTTTGGCAGGGAGGGCTAATTCTTAATCGGGGCCCCCGGGCAGTGAGGGATCCATTCACCCCCTGAGACTGCAGAATGGCTTGTGTAGGATGTATATGATCTGGAGGGGTCTTCATAGCTCATCAGATTCTTAAATGAATCCCCACCCCTACCCACAAGGCAGAAACTCCTGCTTTTACAAGAGCCAGCTGTAGTTACTACGCTCAGAGCCCTAAGAATTCTTGAGGAAGGAGTTGTTTGTATTATTAGTATGTGAGGCAGCAGAGCGGTGGGAACAAGAGTGGAACCATGGCAAGTGTCCCAATTCCCTGGAGCCAGCTGAAGCTTGCCTTCCTTTAGTGAACAGGGGAGCTATGCCCACCTCGGAGGTGACAGCATGGGCACCCAGCCGAGGGCCTGCAGTGGAGTCACCTTCCACTGGGTGCCAGCTGTGCTTTACTACATTAAGCCCACCAAAAATCACCACACAGGAGGAACACGGCGGAAGATAAAACCAAAATCTCCTGCACCCGGAGGTCCCTTTTCTTGAGAACCAGTTTCCCGTGGGGTCCCGGGAGGAGACAGAACCAGCCAGCCAGCCTCACTGGGTTTGGGTGTTGCCAGCAGGTCTCACTGCTCTGAACCGCTGGGAGGAGGAAATGCTGGCCCATGTCAGGCCGCTGCTATTTTCGTCTTTAAAGGTGTCTACCGAGTCTCTGACACACAACTATGCTCTGTATCTTTATTCACCTCCAGGCACATTCACTTAACCATTACTGAGTGTCTCCTCCGTGCCAGGCACAGCGAAAAGGGAGGCACAGCTGTGCCCGGGTGCACACTGAGCTTCGGTCTGGGGGAGGAGACAGGCTTTCTGCGGGAAGGCACACACGCGATGGCGCCGGGCAGAAAGTGCTGGGGGGATGCAGGGAGTGAGGGGCTTCCGCGGAGGGAGGTGCACAGGTGTCGCCTGGAGCCCACATGGCCACGCGCGGTCGTAGGCCGCAGGGCTGGAGAGGAGGGGACGGCATCTTCTCTGGGGACATCTCCCGGGTCGGCCAGGGCCCGGAGGCAGCACCTACAACCCGGAGGGGCTCCCCAGGCACCCACCCTCGTCAGCCGAGGGGTGCCCCAGGTGCAGAGGGGAAGGCTGTAGCCGGCCTCCCAGGCCTGTTCCCAGCAACGGGGACCCCAGGAGAGGCGATTGCTCTCACCAGCAAGCTCACTAAGGTGAAGAAGAAAAGCCTCCATGTTTTGGCCACACCAACCTTTTCCTACCCTCACGGTTCAAGCTCTCCACCATTCAGGCCCTCCTCCTATTCCAGGCACGAGGTCTGGAGGAGAAACTCCCTCCCTGGGATGCCTGCCCCCTCCCCTCCTCCCCGGGCCAGTGGCCCGCACCTGGGATCACACACCGCCTGGCTCCCCACGCGCCCCTCCAGTTCTCATCCGGGCTGGACACTCCTGAGTGCCCCCTCCGTGCACAGCGGTCCCTCCCGGAGCTGAAGGCCTACAAGGCCCGGAGGCCAGAGGAATTACAACCGCTGTCATCCCCATCCCATACCACTGGGGCTGTGCCATACGACACGCTCAAAAAGCTCGCTGAATGAAAGGGAAAAATATCAGTGACCAAAAATTTGGCAAAATCCGCGATTCCAATCCCTCTCCTCCAGGTCCCGCCACACTGACTCCTCTCTCCACTTCAGCTTCCACACCTGCCAAGCGGGGTGACCCCCAGCTGGCCTCTCCCATGGTGTCCGGGCCACACCTAACCCGGCCCGTTAAACACAAACCAGAGGTGGAGAGGCCCGCACAGAGCCCACTGGGTGCTCAGTAAGAAGGTAATGGAGGGGACCCATCCCGGGGGCCCCACGCTGGCACCGCACCCCTCCATCCCGCTGGCCACAGGGCGAGAGAGCAGGGCAGCCCGGCCTCAGGGGCCTCGCGGGGGCAGGAGAGCCAGTCCCCGGGGCAGGACCTGGCCGCGGGCACCTCGGGGCTCACCCCCCGGCCTGCGGCCAGGAGGACTGTGTTTCCTCCGGCCCAGCGCGGCCTGGCGCTCGGGGAGGCCCCCGCTAACACCGGGAGGAAGAGGATCTGCCCGAAGGATGGGAGCGGACGTCACGTGAGCGGGCCCCGGACCGCAGGGAAGCCTCCCCCACCTGCGGCCCCTCCCCCCCCATTTTGTTTTCTTCTACCTTGAGGCATCCGGGGAGACTTACTGATTGCGGACCCTAAAGAGGAGTTCAGTCTGACTTGGGGGAAATAAAAGATAAGTGAACAAGTAAAAGCTGCGCTGGAAGCCGGCGCCGGGCTCCGAGATGGGTCACCGGCAGGCCCTGGGGCTGGGCTCTGCTCACCTGTGGGGGCCTGTCCCGCCGGTGGGGGGCCTGTCCCGCCGGTAAGGGGGCTGTCCCGCCGGTAAGGGGGTGCCCTGCGCAGGGGCGGGGGCGGGAGGGTGGCCGCCGGGCCGCGGGCCGGGCCTCCCCGGACGCGGGGGCCGCTCTGCTCCCGCAGCGGCGCCCCCAGGGACAGGTGGCCGACCCCCCGCCTGGGCCGCGGCCTCCGCACCTGCAAAGGGCGGCGCAGGCCCTGCCGGCCCGCGCGGACGGTGCGGGTGAAACGAGAAGACCCGGCCCAGCGCCCGGCGTCGCGGCCGGTGGATGTCGGGCTCCGACACGCCAGGGCCGCCGGACCCCATGCTCGGGGCGCCGGGGGCGGGCGGGCCTCGCCACGGGGCCGCCCTCAGGTCCGGCGCTCGGCCCCGGCCCCACGCCGGCCCCGGGGGGAAGCCCCCCAGAGATGCCCGCCTGGCCCCTCGGGGCCCAGCGCCGGCCGCCCGAGCCCCCGCCCGCGAGCGCCCACTCACCGCCTTCTTCATGGTGGCCGCCATCTTGGGACTGGACCACGGCACGCGGAGGGGGGCTTTGCCCGTGCGCTCCTCCCCGGCCCCCGCGCACTCCCTGGGGGCCCACAGGCCCCGCAAAACACACCGCCGCCTCCGCGTCCCCTCCCGTGGGGTCTTGGACGGAGGATGCGGAACGCCTGGAACCGGGGAGGAAACGGACTCCGGGAGGACTTGGTACGACCCAATTAAAGGGACGGGCGCCGCCCTGTGAGCCGACAGAAACGGGGGGTGTGGCGAACTGCCGCAGCTCCGGCGGCGGCCAGCAGGGGGCGCCCAGCGCAGAGCGGCGGGCGGGTGCAGGCAGGGGTCTGGAGCCGGTGGCAGGGACATTCTTTTTCATCAATCCCACAAACGTACAGAGAAACTGACCTACCTTTCCAAAGGCTAATAACCAGTGGCTTTGGCAATAATATGTGACAATATGTTCCCTGACAATTCAGACGGTGTAAAGGAGGAAGCACGCCTATTAACCCCGTGGTCGGCAAACTGTGGCTCGTGAGCCACATGCGGCTCTTTGGCCCCTTGAGTGTGGCTCTTCCACAAAATACCTGTTTTATAAACGTAGATTAAATATATTTTAAGTGGACATTGAAAATATCTGACTTAAAGAGAAAACCAGTTTCACTTGCTACAGGAACAGACAGACGGCCTGGGCGAGTCTATTTTGAAGAAGTGGCGTTAGAAGAAGTTTAAGTTTAAAAAATGTGGCTCTCAAAAGAAATGTCAGTCGTCGTACTGTTGATATTTGGCTCTGCTGACTAATGAGTTTGCCGACCGCTGACCTAACCTATTCAACAGCATTATTGAGCGATTGCAGGACACACTGACACCGTGCCTTCCAATTCCTGTTTGACCTCCGAATCCCCAATGGACCAGCAGAAGAAAGAAGCCTGAGGTACAAGTGAAAACACCTGGAGGAAGGAAACTCACTAACAACCACGGGGAAATACTGTCCCCGCCAGGGGTGGGCGTTGCAGTTGCCACATGGAAGCTGGCTTAACACATTCCCTTTCACTGGACGATATTAAAACAATGCTTTGTTTAACTTGAGCTTGTAAAACCCGAGTCCTGGTGGCCTTGAGCCTATGTGTGTGTCATCCCCTCCTCTCCCCCTCCCCGCCCCCCAGGTCCAGAGACTGGAGCAGAGGACAGTGGAACTACAGAATGGGGAAAAAATAGACAAAATTCCTTGCCCTCATGCAGCTTGCATTCTAGTGACGAGAGACACACCATGGTCAAAACATCGAAGGGAATTAATTATACAGTATGTAATAAGATGGTGAGTGATATCAATATGTTATTAAGTAGTTATAACAAGAACAGATACAGGAGCAATAAAAGATGGTCATCACCAGCATGAGAACCCTGTGAGGAAGATGCAAGGAATCAAGTAGAATTGGATGGAAAAACTGAGCGGAGCAAAAACTCTATCTGAATTGACACGGAGGCTACAAAATTATCCAGACATGCCCCGGCTTAATTTAGGCTGTCACAAAGCGAGAATGAACTGTGTTGTTTCATAGCCCTATCTGCCTGGGTCCCCCACTCCCTCAACCCCCAAACCCCCAAACCCGGCAACATCTGTGCCAGACGTCGGGTCCCAAGACTGCAGGGGGCGCCCAAGGACCGTGGGAGTGTTCCCAGACAGACCCCCAGCCTGAGGCCACCTGGGTAAATAGTCCAAGATATCAACACAATGATGATTTTCTGAATTGTTTTTAAACATCTGTTTTATAAGAGTAGACTAAATAAATATATTTTAAGTGGACATTGAAGATCTCTGACTTAAAGGGCAAACCAGTCTCACTTGCTACAGGAACAGATCTCAAGAGGGTTACGTAAATAAATCTCTAATCCCTGCCAGACGAATTTGTGTTTCATTTGAGACTTGATCAGAGTGGAAGGTAACAGGTAATGGGGTGAGGGTGGGGGAGGCAAAGCACTCCCCGACCCCGACCCCCCCTCCACACACACCCCAGAGGGAGGGAGGGAAGTGTGGGGAGAACCTTTAATATCAAATAAAGATAGGTGACCATGTGTGTTTAAAGTAACTGGAGGAAAGGGCAGAAAAGAAAAGAGAAGGGAGAGAAGGGCAAGAGATGATGCTGGAGAGAACTTTGCCTTCCTCCCGCCTCCCTCTGTGGCTGTGGAGACACAGTGTGACTGAGAGATGTCCCTCCCAGACTACTTATCCTGGCCTGTCCTTGCCTCCTTCCTGTTTTGTTCCTGGAGCACCAGAATCCCCTCTGCGTCTCTTCAATATTTAATCCGCCCTTGAAAGCCTCGCCTTGCTTTGGTTAACCCTTCCCACCTTTACGTGGGGAACTCGGGTGGAAAGAGATTCCCAGGCCTGCAGGCCAAGCCCAGTGGGAATGCCAGATGGGCTACAGGAGGGATGGAGCTCCATCTAACTCCACATCCAGTTCCTTGCCTCCAGCCAAATGTTGTCACGAGGACACAGGGACCCAGGACCAATAGAAATTCCCTTTCCTCCTCGAGCCAAGCCTCTGGGTTTTTTTTTAAGTCTTGTGATTTTGAAATGATTCAAATTCACTTTCAAATAAATCCTCCCTCAACCTATGCATGACAACTGGATGGAGAGCGCAGGCCACCAACCCATCTGTGGCCTCCCCAGGTGCACATCTTCTGGAATGTTCTTATAACCAGCTGTCTCCTTCCTAAATAAAGCGGGGAGTCCCCTAGGTTTTCTTAAGCAAACCTAGTCAGGGGCTTCCTAACTGCTGCAAATCAGGCACAGGGTGACTGAGAGATGTCCCTCCCAGGCTACTTATCCTGGCCTGTCCTTGCCTCCTTCCTGTTTTGTTCCTGGAGCACCTGAATCCCCTCTGTGTCCCTTCAATATTTAATCCGCCCTTGAAAGCCTCGCCTGGCTTTGATTAACCCTTCCCACCTTTATGCTCTGCCCTTGTTTCGTAGTTGGCACTTTTCTAAACCACCACTCTACACTCCTGACCGTCTCTGTTTGCTAGTTCTTTTGAGTCTTATTGTGCCGGGCAATAGAAACTGTGTCCGTGTGTATTTGATTCAACGGTTTTGTAAATCATTTTATCGAGGTCCTGTTTGAAATTCTTCACTGTCTTCCCGGGGCATGTGGGTGTAATTTGAATCCTTTGCCAAAGCCTAGCCTCCCACTCCCTGACTTTGTACCATCTTTCCCCTCACTACCCTCACACCCTGTTCCCTGGGTGCGGCCTGATTCCTTCTGCCCCAGGGCCTTTGCACGTCTCGCTCTGAAGCACTTGATGTCCTTTCTCCTGTTATTCCCGTGGGTAAATCCTACTCCTCCTCAATGCTCTTCTTCTATGTCTCTCCATCAAGAAAGCTTTCCTTAGCCAAAATGGGTTTGGCTTAGTGGATGGAGCATCGGCCTGCGGACTGAAAGGTCCCAGGTTCGATTCGGTCAAGGGCATGTACCTTGGTTGCGGGCACAGCTGACCGATGATTCTCTTTCCTCGGTGTTTCTAACTCTCTATCCCTCTCTCTTCCTCTCTGTAAAAAATCATTAAAAAAAAAAACTTTCCTTAAATATATGCACCCCCACAGACAGCACACCCGCCCCCCCCCCCTGCTTAACACCCTTGAAGCCCTCCCTAATATTTACTCTTTACCTCTGTCTGCCCTGCCATACTGGAGCCCCCAGGGAAACGTGCCTGTTTCTTCATCTCTGTAATTGCAGCACAAGAGGAGGGTAGATAGGTGCCTGACAAATATTAGCTAAGGAATGAACAAATACGTGAATGAATGAGACTGTGTTTTTAGGGATTAACACGATAACATATACTCCGAGTGGCCAGATTATGATGTGTTCAGAGATTATCTGAACATATCTGGCCACTCCGTGTATATAACACAATGTTGCTGCTGGTGAATTCATTCAGTAACAGTGTGCAAGAGCCACCCCTCCCCCCCCCCCCCCCCCCCACACACACACACATCCCACCCCCGAGAACTGGCACTCCATGCCTGGCACTCCACGCTTCACACAAATTGTGAAAACCAGTGGATTCCTTGAGGGAATAGTCCTTTCTCCTTTCACCAGGTGGCGCTGTGACACCAGCCTAATATTTTCTTTTTCTCTTTGCAACCAGTGGATTCCTTGAGGGAATAGTCCTTTCTCCTTTCACCAGGTGGCGCTGTGACTCCAGCCTAATATTTTCTTTTTCTCTTTGTCCATGTTCTTATCTACACTCTGTGAAGGGAGATGGCACAAAACCAGGGAAACCTCTCTCTCTTTGGACCAAAACATCACCATCTTTTGCGAGTTTGAATTATTTCCATAATGTTTAAAGGCAAAGCATTTTCCAGAGCACTCATTGATTCTAGGCCTTTATAAATAGGTCATTAACTCAACTGTTTATCCCAAGGTACATGCTTATAGCAATTTTTGATATTGATAATGAGTCAGAAGGTTTGTAAGGAGCACTCAAATCATATCTTTGAATCAAAATACACCTTTCGTACTGTGACTAACTCAACAAAGATTTACTCAGAACCTCGAATGCATCAGACTTTGTATGCTTAATTTCAGACTTTCTATGCTTAATTTCTGGCTGATCCTTTTCCATTTTTTTGGTATTTTCACTAAGGTCTTTGAAGGTCTCACAAAGCTTCTTGGAGGTCTCATCAAGTTTCTCAAAGGTTTTTAGAAGATTCTGAGTAACCTTATAAATCTGAACTGGGTGTCCAGTAGTTTACTCTCCTTCGTCTCTCCCATTCCTGTCACGCTTCTGTGTCTCCTCATTTTGGCTGCCTCCCTGTGTTGATCTGCTTTGTGTGGTCGGTGACCTATAGGGGCCAGTAGCTCAGCTTCCTCAATCACCTGAGGTGGTCGCTTTTGCTATATCCCTTTGTGGGCTGAGTGCAAAGTCTTAGTGTAATTAAGGCTTTATTGCTGTTGGTACACTGTTGGTACACCTCCCGGCCAATTGTCTGTGAGGATCCGCTGTGTCTATGAAAGAAGAACT